AATTCCCCCACTACAACACTGAAATATCAAAAAATGCATTTAAGTGTTCGAAAATAACATGCGTAGCAGCGATAGTACACAGAAGGCGATTTATTAAGCTGAAAACTGAGCAGTTTAATGCGGTTAATAAAATCGATAATAAATGCTATAATCTAGGAAAGGTAGGGGTCCTAATCATGATAGAATACAAATTAACGCAAATTAACCATCCGGCTTAGAGATGAAAACCACATCAAAATCATCCACCTCAGCTACATATCTTCTCTATCATATCTATGATAGAATACATAGGGAATGATACAATTGACCGAGAATCTGTAGTTGGTAGACCAAAACGATACGTGAATAATAAGCGAGATGTGATTAACTGTAATAATACAGCAAATATCGATGTTAAAATAATAGTGACGTGATTTATGTATGAAAATATTAATCAGTTAAATGAGTAATCAAATGACAATTACGAATAAAGATAATAAAAATAAAAATTCGTAGTAAGTTATATTTTGATGACTTGCACGTAACGTTTAGGCCAATGGACTCGTCTACCAGATCATGTTGTTTTCGCAGGTTTCTCTGTCGACGTTGAAGCTTGCGTGGATGTAAGTATTGGCACGTCGTTCAGCTGTTTCTTATCGTTGATTTCGAAATCGTCGAGGAACGCTGGTTTGACTCTGTCGATACTGACGGCTTTTGTTGTATTCAGTCGTTGTATCGCGATAACTTTAGCATTTCTGTTCAGAACTCTGAATGGGCCATCATAAGCGGGTTGAAGGGGTCATTGTACACCTTCTCTCCTGACGAAGACGTGAGTGCAGTCTGTCAGTTGTGATGGGATGTATGACGCTCGTTCCTGCTGACGTGGAAGTGATATCTTGAACTCGTTCGTGTGCTGTTTTTGCTGGTGCACGTAACCAATCATGTCGTGTGGAACTTGGCTACCCGGGGTGAAGAATTCTCCTGGTAATCGTAATGTCATTCCATAGACTAGTTTGGAAACGCAGCAGCCAATATCTTTCTTTCTGGCAGCTCGTATACCAAGTAGTACTAGTGGAAGTTCGGTTGACCAATCGTTTTGAGTCAAAGAAGCAGCGAGCGCAGCTTTGAGTTGTCGATGAAATCGTTCAACCATACCGTTGGAACTAGGATGATACGCTGTCGTTCGTATTCGTTTAGTGCCTAGTAATTCAGTTAGCTGGTCAAAAAGTCGGCTTTCAAATTGGGCACCTCTGTCTGTAGTGATAATTTATGGGGCACCAAAGTTGGCTATCTAGTTTTCAACCAAAGCTTTTCCTACCGTTTCAGCGGAGACGTCAATTAATGGGACTGCTACTGGCCGACGAGTAAATCTGTCTATGCAAGTTAGAGTATAGTTGAAACCATTGGAAGGAGGCAGTGGACCAACTATGTCTACATGTACATGGTCAAATCTGGAGTCGGGGTTAGGGAAGCGACCAAGTGGTGCATTGGTGTGCCGGTTGATTTTGACACTTTGACAGGACATTCGCGTCCACTCCTTAACATCGCTTCTAATGTTCGGCCATATAAATCTTTCTCCGACCTTGGCGGCCTGTTCGAATTTTTGGGCCAGCTACTATAATATCTACATTTTGCATCCAGTCTTCTGTTTACCAACATATATTTATCACCTAAATATGAATTCTAACAGAATCATTTACTCTCGTAACTTTATTAATCATCTACGACCAAATGACTTTCATGTTCCAAAGAAACCAAGGAGGAAACATCGTAGTGGTTGGCAGAGAGCTCTCAAACGTACACCAATACACTTAACTACGGTCCTCGTCATAATGAACACAAACTGTCGCTCTCTACCAAATAAGATAATGTACCTACAATCCCTGATGTCAACTGATACGTATCATAACACCGCCATAATCACATTACAAGAAACGTGGTTGCATGAACTGTATGATGACAACCTTATCTCACTAAAGGACTTTATTTTATTTCGTCAAGACCGTCAATGTTGTAATAAGAAAAATGGTGGTGGCGTTGCAACTTTTATTCACTCCAAATGGTCTGTCTCTAATAACGTCTGCTTCACCTTCTAAAATGACTTCATTGACTGTATTACTGTCAAATGTCGCCCCAAACATCTCCCCAAATATAAACGAATCTATATTACAAACATGTACATTTCTCCTAGCTGCTCTCCGTCTGATCTATCTAATTTTGCTGATGAATTCACCATGTTTGCTGCTGCCAACTTCGACAACTCTCTATCCGTTATTACTGGAGACTTCAACACCTCAGATTGCTCCTTTCTTGAAGCTCTTGGTCACACAAACATAGTCAAATTTCCCACTCGACTTACAAAACACTCGATCAGTTTTTACTAATGACGAAGGAGTATATGAAACACGTAGACGTTCACCGATACTTAACTCCGATCACTGCGTTGTCTGCGTTTTGCCAAAAATATACAGCAAAACACATATTAAAATCTTCTCACACCTGTCTTCGATAGCACAACAAAGAAGCTACACATCTGACAACCTTCTCAATCTAAGATGCATGTTAAAAGATACTAACTGGGATCTATTCTGTGAAAGTACATTAGATGACTCAATCACCAATATAACGGATTATCTTAAGTTCTGCCTCGACATTTGCTGTCCCAAACAAACACTGTTCAAACGCCTCGACCGCTTCTCGTCTCCCCATCTCAAACAACTTCGCAGGCAAAAAGAAATGTTATATAAATGCAAAGACAAGTTGGGACTTAAAAAGATTAATGCTCAAATCAAATCTGAAATCAAAAGTCGTAATGATATCTATAACCAAACCCTTTTATCATGCAAATCTCCTATCAGCATGTGGAAATTTTTCAATGAAATTACTGGGAATAGTAAGCGATGTAATGTTTTTCCTTCTTGTGATGTTAATGCTCTTAATCAGTCTTTTATGCGCTCTCCTTCTACTATAACCACTTCTAACGTTACTAATCTTGTAGCTGATAACTTCCAGGACTTCAATACTCCCGATGTTTTGAAATGTCTTAAAACTCTTAAGCCCTCACATAGTCTTGGCCCTGATGGTATACCTGCATATGTTCTAAAACAATGTGCAGATGCTTTATGTTCTCTCTAACTAATATCCTAAATGCTTCTTTCTCCGAAAACGTTGTACCTGTTCCATGGAAAGACATTAAAATAGTCCCTGTCCCTAAACCTGGAAATAGCAAGAACGTAAAGTTCAGACCCATCGCCATCACTTCCCCGTTTCTAAAGCTCATGGAAAAACTAGTACTTCTTAAACTGAACCCTCCCTTAAAAGCTTCGAAGACCCCAAACAATTTGCCTACAGACAGGGTAGGAGTACTTTAGACGCTGCAGCCGTCTTACACAACAGTATTGTCTCATCATTAGACAAAGGTGCCAAATATGTCCGCTGCACGTTTCTTGACTTCATTTCTGCTTTCGACTCTGTACCTAGATGTCTCTTGCTAAATAAGCTCTCCATGACACAAACCGAGTCCTGGGTCACTAACTGGTTGCATTCCTACTTTTCAAACAGAATGCAGTACACCGTATACAAAGGCGAATCCTCCTCTGCTGTGCTCACTGAAGCTGGTGTCCCCCGAGGTGCTGTACTCTCCCCACTTCTCTTTTCTTTCTCTCTGCATAACTTACCATCTTCAAATGACATTAACTTTGTCAAATATGCTGATGACCTAACTGTATCTTTACCTGTCAAATGTCAAAGTGACTGCTCTAAACTGAATGGCTTCTTATCAGAAATCAGCCAATGGTCCAAGGAAAACGGTCTCACTTTAAACCCCTCCAAATGCCAAACAGTTAATTTCACCTTTAGGCACAAATCTGACCTAAACAAACTGGTTAGGACTCACGAGATGTGCAACATAGATGGCACTGAAATTGAAACCAAGTCGGAAGTTAAATACCTAGGCGTCACTCTATCTTCTGATCCTTCCTGGTCGTCTCATATCTTGACGATTTCTAAGAAAATATTCCGTCTTACCTTCTACATCAAGAAGTTAAGACTTTCCGGTGTAACCCAACCCTTACTCCTACAATTTGTTAACTTCCGTATTCTGCCTATTATTCTCTATTGTTCCCCCTTAGTTTTTCCAGGGCTGGCTATTGAAGAAAGACTATACCTTATTACGTAGGATGTTAAAGGTTGTCAGCAGGGTAAGCAGTTTGCCACTTAGCCGGCTTGTTAATATTCTGGTGGACAGGCACATGGACTCATGTGAAAAATGGGCAAAAACCATTTTATCTGACTCACAACACCCTCTACATTCACAACTCTCCCCGTGTATCTCTTCAGGGAAAACCAGAAGCCTATATAGGAAACTATATGCCCGCACTAGCAAGTACAAAAACTCATCCATACCCTACCTAGCTCGTGTTCTGTGCGATAAAGAAAGGATTAGGCGGGAAACCTTTAACTTATTAAATAGTCAGTAGAACAAATGGATCTCGTCTTTCCAAGTCACATCATTTACAGGTACAACGTTTTCTCTCTACCTTTTTTTCTCTTTCTGTATTTATTTTTGTTATGTGCTGTTTTGTTCCTCTTTTCCTTACAAACTCTACTTAAAAAATTCTTGTTCGTTCTTTCACACTCTGTATAACTCGACCATTTTGCTATTGCTTACGCCAGTAAACATGCTAGTAGTATCTACTTTTTATAACACCTTCAAACACTCTGTTTAAATTTTTGCTTTGCTACCGACATGCTAATATTTTGTTGTCAAAACTGACTGAGATAACCCTAATCTATGTAGAACTATATTTATTGTTAATGTACATCATCGCGCGCTGTTTGAAAGGGAGTGCTTTTTTCACGTATTTCACGTTTTTGACAAATCGCTGTTTTGTTGTGTTATTCACTTCAAGAACATTTTAAAAAAACTTTAACTTGACTTTTGTCTGTTAAGTTTTGATTTTAACCACTTATATAGTCTATATTGCGTAAATTGTCTTGGCTGTTTCCAGTAGAAGTTCATTATGTCAAAAGTACCACATAAATGTAATAGGGCGGAGTGTTACTTTTTGGTAGATGATGGAATACAGTGTAATAACTGTGAAAAGTGGTATCATAAGATGTGTACTGGATTACGTCCAGCTGCATACAAACGTTGTACTGCTCCAACATCCCACTGGATGTGCAGAATGTGTTGCTCCCCAAAGATGACCTTAATAAGGGAGGCTCACGAACTGCTGTCTAAAGCCATGGAACTTCCTGATGATAGCGTGGCTAGTAAGAGTGACACGGACTGCCCGTCTGAAGATGAAGCAGTAAGTGCCATCATGAATGTTATCACACCGGCGGTTACTATCCCAGTTACCCCGGAAGTAAAACCTACTAGGCGTTCGAAGCGTCTTAGTAAGCGAAAAGGTAAGAAAACGGAAGCTGTAAACAGCATCTCAGAACCAGAGAACACCGTAAGCGAAGTTCACCATGAAGGTGGTGCAGACACTGATCTTGATTGTACCATCAAAAACTGCAGCAGCCCTGAGAAGCAACTGCAGACAGATGATAAATGGGTAACAAAAATAAGCAGTCGGAAGAAATATAGTAATATTGATGGTAGGCAAACGTCTGTCACCTGTAGCCAGGCTGCATCAATAGTGGTGAGAAAGGACGTAGCCACTGCTAAATACGACAAGCTCTCCTTAGACTCTAACATAATTGTTGGAAATTTGGAAGAGTCCAAAGAATCTGATCCCGTGAAAAGACACGATCACGACCTTAAATTAGTGAGTAGTATTATAAGGAAGATGCTCCCAGCGAATTTCCCTGGAGTATCTATTAAAAAGCTGATTAGAATAGGCAAAAGAGATGATGAATGTTCTAGTCAGCGTAGGTTGCTTAAAGTAGTCTTAGGTTCTCCTGATGAACGGAATCATCTACTGGCTAATGTACACAACCTTGCCGGGTCAGGAATTTCAGCCAGACCTGATTTATCTCTTGAAGACAGACTTAAACGAAAAGAAGTTTTGTCCCAGCTAGAAACAAGACGTAAAAATGGTGAGACTAACCTTAAACTGGTGGGTTTTCAAATAGTCAGGTCTTGGAAACGTATGCTTCCAAGACCTGTGTGGATAAGCCAGACCGCATAGGAAGCCTGAAGGTAGTGTACACTAATACACGTAGTATCAGGAACAAATTTCACGAGCTAGGTGTATTAGTAGAAGACCTTAGCCCAGGTATTGTGGCCATTACTGAAACATGGCTGGTTTCGGGATTAGATGACACACCTGAGCTATGCGGATTTAGTTGCTTGCGCAGCGACAGAGTTAAGGGTCGTAGAGGTGGCGGGGTTGCTCTGTACATCAACAACTCCCTACATGTTCGTTCCGTGAAATCTGAAGCTCATGACAGTGGGACAGGTGAGGTAATTAGCTGTGAAGTAAGCTTTGCAACCGGCACTCTACTCATTGGAGTTCTGTATAGAAGTCCCTATTGTCAGTGTGATGACTTCATTTTAGATCACCTCAAACAATGGAGTAAACACAGTAGCTGTCTTATTCTAGGTGATTTTAATGCACCTCATATAGACTGGGTAGCTGTCACATCTCCAGGATCCGCTGATAAGTTTGACAGCCGGTTACTCTTGACAACCATGGAAAATGCCCTGACACAACATGTCTTAGGTAGTACAAGATTCGGTTCTACCCAAGGATCTTCCTTGCTGGACTTAGTGCTTACTCATGACAACGACGACGTGGATGGTCTAGTTATTCATCCACCTCTAGCAAACAGTGATCATGGGGTGTTAGATTTTAACTTAAGGGCTGGCAATTTAGTCAGTTTTCAACCCAAATCCCGGCCTAGTGTTTGGCATGCTGACATAGTGGCTATAAAGGAGCGTGCTTCAACTGCCGACTGGTCAGTCAACATTGTCTCATCCATTGAAGATGAATGGGATAGATTTAAGAATACACTTGAGAGGGTTACCACTGATCTCATCCCCTGGAGGGTTCCTAAAAGGCCAACAAATCGGCCACCATGGATAAATAGACAAGCTATAACACTCCTGAGACGGAGAAAAAGGTTCTGGAATCTCTTTGTTTCTACTGGGCTACAGCAGTTCCGGCTGAAATACTGTGAAACCAGAAACCAGTGTAAAACTTTGATCCACCAGTCAAGGATAGCTTACGAAACCCAGTTAGTTAAAAGTTCACCAGGCTGCCCAAAAAGACTCTTCTCATATATCAAGAGAAGAACACGTAAGAGTGATGCTATCCCACCTCTTATGCTTGAAGATGACCAGACAAACATGGCTGAGGATAACTTGACTAAGGCTGAGGCTTTGTCCAAGCACTTTAGTCAAGTATTCTCTGATAATATTGATACCAGCTTTGTAAATTTTCCAGAAGGTAACTTGAAAATGGCACCCTTATACATTGGAAAGGATACTGTCCTAAAGTGGCTTCTAAGGCTCAATCCTGGTAAGTCCAGTGGCCCTGATGAACTCCACCCACGTATATTAACAGCATTGGCTGAAAGCATAGCCGAGCCATTGTCGGTAATCTTCAATATGTCTCTGGACCAGTCTAAATGTCCAAGAGACTGGAAAGATGCCATCATTAGTCCGGTCTTCAAAACCGGATCTAGAAACTTAGTTCAGAACTATCGTCCTGTTAGTTTGACCAGTATTGTTGTTAAACTACTAGAAAGAATAATTCGTGATGCTATCATTCAGTTCATTGAAGGGAACAAACTTTTCGCTGTGGAACAGCACGGTTTTAGAGCAGGTCATTCTTGCTTGACCAACCTTCTTTTGGCCAGAGAAAGTTGGGCAAGCTCAGCTGATGCTAATATACCGGTGGATGCCATATTCATAGACCTTAGCAAGGCGTTTGACAGGGTTTCTCATTCAGGTCTTCTAGTAAAGTTAGGTAGTCTGGGAATCAATAAAGTGGTTACCGACTGGATTCAAGACTTTCTAAAGGACAGAAGACAAAGAGTACGAGTTAACGGGGTTTTATCAACATGGGAATCGGTTAAGAGTGGCGTTCCTCAGGGTACAATTCTAGGCCCACTTCTTTTCCTGATTTATGTTAATGAGATTCCATCGGTAGTTAAGTCATCCTGCTTACTGTTTGCTGATGACATCAAGATATGGAGGGCTTTGCACGATGACAGTGATCAACTTGCTTTGCAGGAAGATTTAAACTTGTTAAGTGATTGGTGTAAGCACTGGGCCTTGGAGATTAACTTAAGCAAGAGTGTAGTTATGCATGTATCCCATAGTCACGTGCACAATTACTCAATGAATGGCATTACTCTCCCAGTGGTCACTGAGTACAAGGACTTGGGAGTGGTTGTGCAGCATGACTTGAAAACAGCAACAAACTGTAGAACTGCAGCCACTAAGGGTTTTAGAATGTTATGGGCCATACGCAAGGCTTTTGCGAACTTTGACGCTGATATATTTCGTATATTATATCCGACTTATATCAGACCTCATTTGGAATATGGGATCCAGGCAGCGAGCCCGTGTTTCAAATACGAAATAGACTTATTAGAAAGGGTGCAAAGAGTAGGAACTAAGCTAATAAAGGGTTTCTCAACCCTGTCATATGAGGAGAGGTTAAGTCGACTGGGTTTATTTCCACTGTCATACAGACGACTTAGGGGTGACCTAATACTAGCATACCGTATCCTAAGAAATGATTTTGGAGCTAATTTATCTAAATTATTTCTTCCTTCTAGCACCAACCAATTGCGAGGACATCACCTCAAGGTTCAAAAACCACGGTCGAATCGTCTGCGTCTGGAAATCCGTTTTTCGCATCGAATTGTGAACCATTGGAACTCCCTACCGGAACACGTCGTATCAGCGCCATCCGTTGATTCATTCAAGGCGAGATTGGACCTCCTGTATGCAATAAATCGAAAGGATTAACACAGGCATATAGCCTACTATCCTAAATAAATTGTAAACTGTAAACTGTACTAACTGGATGCAATATTGTAGTAAAATGCTGAGAATTCCATTCTGTATCACAAGTACTGATTTGGAATAAAGCTTATCTTATCTTATCTTATCTTAGTTTGATAGTAGCGCTCACACCAGGATGCGACAAGTTATGTAACTTCTCGAATACTGTATGTCTCACAGCTGTTGGAACGAAAGGTCGATATTTACCCGTAGAGGTGTCGCTGATTACTTTTGTCGTGCCAAAATAAATTGCCTCGAGGTTTAGAGATGTTGTCTTAGAAGACATGATCTTTATCAGTTCGGCATCATCTCGTTGTAAGTTTGAGAGATGTTCGTAGGCTATGTCTGGGAATGCAATGTTGTCAATGTGCATACGTGATAAAGCGTCTGCCACTTCATTGTTTTTATCCCTTAAATGTCGCAGATCGGAGGTGAACTAGGATATAAACTCGAGATGTCGTAGTTCGCGCGGAGATTAATTATCCTGTTTTGCTGATAAGACTTTCGTTAGACCTTTGTGGTCTGTTGCTCGGAAAGAGGGTTGTAGAAGGTCAGGAAGCTGATTTACCAAGTCAGTATATGGAGATGCTGGAGTGCGTGTGACCATCAAGTTCAACGATGATGCGCGGCTAATCGTACCAGCGATGCAAGTTTTATTGAGGTAGTCCATTAGCTGAAGGCTTATCGGATCAACCAGCAGTTTGTGTCGCTGTGGAAAATCGATACTGAGGATTGGGGATGGAACGTCTGCGATGATGAAAGATCAAGTGTAGATATTCTGCAGATCAGAGTCCAAAGTCATTCGCTTACTTCCATATGTAACAATATTGGACTTATTAACGGCTTGGGGCGTAACTGCAGGGTCAGGACGTTGAGGTTCTAGTGTAGATGGAGGGAAAGCACTAACCTTTGCTCCTGTGTCGACTAAGAATGTAGTACCGATATTTCTATCTGTTACATAGAACAAACTACTGCTAGATCATAGATTGCTGACAGTAGAAGTTTTCATACATGACAATATATCTTTTGTTTTAGCCAGAAAGTTGCAAGGTGAACGGCACTGTCGTCTATTGCTTCCATAACTATGGTTGTACCAGCAAATATTATCGTGATGTCGTGACGTGCTAGGTGACCGAGAAAGACGTCGACGAGACGAACTTCTAGAACGGCCTGGTCGTGTGCGTGAGGTCAGCGTTGCTGACTGACTTAGCAAGGTATCGACTTTGTGTTCTAGAGTCTGTATCCTATCGTCAGTGTCTGGTATTCTGCTAGTGGAAGCAACAGATTGAGGTGTTGACCTCTCATGCATGCGACCCGCGATTTCGGTGAACTTTTCTATGCCAATGTCGTCGTCTCCGTAAGCAAGAACTTGCTGAATTTTTGCAGGAAGTCGTCGCAGACAGATTTGGTAAAAGAGAGGTTTCTCGATATCTCTTCCTGCTACTAGGCTTTGCATGTGCCTTATGAGTTGTGATGGGATTTTATCACCTAGCTCTACATTACTTAACAAACGATCGAGTGCTTGTCTATCCGAAAGCGAAGTGCGTCGAAGTGCCTCTTCCTTCAACTTGTCATAAGGCGCTTCTATGCTGGGTTGAGCGATGTATTGTTATACCTGCTCGGCGACCTCATCTGCTAGTACTGTACTCAAAATGCCGAATTGAGCCGTCTGTGACGTGAGCTTGTTGGCGGTGAAATTAATTTCCAGTCGAGCAAACCAATGGTGGGGGTCTCTGGGCTTAAAAACTGGTACAGTAAAAGAAATAGTACTAACAGATCCCAGCTCTAAGTTATTAGAGGTATTGAAAAACATGTTACAATTCTTAGAAAAATGGTTTAAGAGTAATAAAATAGCAAAACTTATGCACACTAACAATATGGCGAAACAGAAAAACATGCAATGCAGATGCTTACCGCAGATAACTGCAAGTCGTGCGATGAGAAGGTGCAAGAATGAGTTAGAAATGTCTGTGATGTATATATATATATATATATATATACATAGAACCGAGAAAGTTATAGTTTTATTAATCCAGCAAGTGTAATGATGCGTCGGGGTGAACAAGTTGTCGTCGGGGTCAACAAGTTATCGTTAGGCTCACCAATTTGTTTCAAATTCAGATTTATTGGTTAAGGATAGAAGGCTTGGAGCCTATGTTAATCCTT